TATGTGTCCTACCCTGTCTCATATGGAAAAATAAATTATATGGTTGAAATATAAAAGAAAGTAAGCATAAATGGGAAGTAATGAATGCATCAGTCTTTTTTTTTTTTTTTAATTAAACAAATTCTACAGTAGTGAAATTTGAATTCAGATAAATCACCCAGAGTTGACAATATTAATATGGTTCCTTGGCTGTTAAATAAGTGAAATTTTTTTACTCTGGTAGCCTGAATAAACAGTAAAAAGATTTTTCAAACATACCTAGAAGTTTGTAAACAAACGTATTTATATCTTTTAATTTAGGAGGTGGTCTTAAAATACATAAATTTGTTTTGCTATGACCAAATTTAAGGAAAAAGCTAAATGATAGCCTACCAACATAGCTATGAAATAAAATTATAGCACTTTACTAAGAAAGGTGTGTAATGCTATTTAACAGTATTTTATATATGACTTTTGCCATTATCATATAATTTCTTGCTTAGTTTTTTCCTGTGTTAATTATAATTAAAATAATCCTGTTAGATAATAGATACACTACCCAGTATTTATTACAACACGTGAATTGTGTTGATTCACAAAATTGAATTTGTTAAGATAGGGGTGTCTTAGTAAGAAAGAACCTATATTTTCTTGACTTTAAATCTATGGGAGAGGGCGATATAGACTGCATGCTGCATATTTAGTTTTGGAGCTCAGTCTTGGTGAGTACAATACCATGATTTTTGAAATCTGTATTAGGAGCATTTTTCAAATATATATTTTTTATATTTCAGATGTAATGCAGTGCATTTTTACTTGAAAAGTAGTTTAAAAAAAAAAAAAACACCATAGTCTTTTGAGACCACACAGGTCTTTTTTGCCCCCTTTACCCCCTTTTTGAAAGTATATGGTATGTGTAATTGTAGACTACCTAATGTATTTCTTTCAGTCTTTTATTTTTGTTTTCTTAGAGTGAGAGAGTGTGCCCAGGAGCGAGGGCTAGTGAGTGGGAGCGGGGGTTGGCAAAGGAATAGGAAGAGAATTTTAAGCAGACTCCACATCCAGCACGGAGTCCGACATGGGGCTTGATCTCACAACCCTGAGATCATGACCTAAGCCTGACAGTTACCTGACTGAGCCATCCAGGTACCCCTTTTTTTCATTCTTTTAAGAAGTGACTTAAGCGTTGAAAATAATATTTGGGTTAGCTTCCACCTTAAATGGCAAAAATAATATCCCAATTGTGTAATCTTTTTAATACCAACCATTTTATTTTAGAGATGATTTCGTTTGCCAGAACCAACAGAATCCCCATTTCATGAGGGATTTCATACTGGCAAAAACTGATTGTAGTATTCATGTGAAAGATATTTCCCCCTTCTGCTTGCTATTACTGTAAAAATAAGTTGCTAGTAATTGAAAATTAACTTTTTGTTAAATTACTATAGTTACTGTCATTTTTCTTCTCAGGAACAAAGTGGAGGGGGTTATAGTTTACTGACAGATCCTGTCTTGTTCTTCACGAAAATATTACTCCATCTTTCTTCTGACGCAAATGACCTAAGTACACATTTCATGAAAATTATTTTGCACACTGTTACTCACTTTTTTAAAAAACAATACAAAATGATACACTAAAGAGGGAAACTCAAAATCCCAAAACCTCTTCAGAGCTTCTGTTTTATTTCCTCTATTTTTTATTTTGAGTTTTTCAGAATCACTCATTCCTGCATATCTGGCATTACAGAACTTTTGCAATAGTATAATGCAAACTTTTGGAAAGCAGAGTATACTCTGCTTTCCACTATTTTGACGTATGAAAGATTTGTTAGGAATTCTCTACTTTCAGATAGCCAGGAAACCTCTATACGTTCCACTGATAAATGCTCACTTCAAGTCACAACACTCAGTTAAATAGTGCCGATTCCAGATGATGAATTTAGAATGTGAGCTTCATTAATGCTTTAATATGACTTACTATGTTACATCCCTTGATTGCAAAAATTCTAACACTTGTATTTTGGGTAAGCAAGTGAAAAGTATGCAACTATGACTTGACATAAACAAGAATTCCTTTGTGCTATGATAGTTGGGAGTACATGACTAAGGTGTATTTAAGAGGTTTCATATTAGTCGTCTTTTTTTTTTTTTTAAGATTTTATTTATTTGGCAGACAGAGACCACAAGTAGGCAGAGAGGCAGGCAGAGAGAGTGAGAGAGAGGAGGAAGCAGGCTCCCTGCTGAGCAGAGAGCCCAATGCTGGGCTTGATCCCAGGACCTGGGATCATGACCTGAGCCAAAGGCAGAGGTTTTAACCCACTGCCACCCAGGCGCCCCTAGACTTCTATCTTTAAATGCATTCACAGTTTCGAAAGTGTGCAAGTAAGAACTATGTTAAGAAAGATGAGAGAATATTTTTCAATAGGAATGAAAAGCTAATTTTACATTAACTTTGTTTTTAAAAAGCAATGCATTAAATGAGTAGGAAAGAAAAAGAAATTCAACCTAATTCGAATTCTGAGAGGTCATTTTTAACAATTACTCATGAAAATTATCTTTTAAAAGTTCTTTTGTCAAGCATTTCAGAGGGCATATTTGGGAAATGAGAAATTTAAGTGTACATTTATATAGTTTATATGTGTAAATAGCCTGTACTCCAATTTTGAATTTTTGAACCCACTCTGTTCAGCACTGATGGGTAAGAATTTCAGAAACTGCAGAAAAAAATGAGACAGTATCTATTTTTGAGGCGCTTAAAGTTAAAAAAAAAAAAATTTAGTTGTGTGACCTAGTAAAGACAAGTAAAGACATAGTAAAGACAAAAGACAATGGCTAATTATAAAGGCTGAACTTTAAAAAATGTCCTAGTATGCTGCACAAGTTCATTTGCAGTGTTAGATTTGACAAGATATCAGTTAGTTTGTTCAATGTTTGTATGGTCTCATCGTCCTGTACTCTGCAACTCAAGAATTTTGGATAATCAGTACATGCACATTAGCGCGAACACTCCCTTTGTATTGAGCTATATAACTGACAAATACTTCCCCCGGCATTCTTTACCAAATAGATAAGTTCTGATCATCTCTATCATATGAATTTAGAAATGTATGTTAATAAATATGAAATTAGCAGAAGTTAAATATAAATTTTATTGAGGTCACAATATTGAAACTCAAGCAATGAAACACTTTAGAATGAGAATATAATGTGACTCTGGAAAAGGCGAACCTTAATCAACTCTGTTTCTCCTGAATATTAAACGGTTAGAATCTCTAGGCTTAACTGCGACTGTGGAAGGACCAATTTCCAATGATATCAGTTCTCTGGACAGAGAGAAATGCAGCAGCATAGAATTTGCTCCTTTACTTCCACAATCTTTAGGCGAAGATACTCCATTTAAACTTTGTTCTCACAGGGGCGCCTGGGTGGCCCAGTGGGTTAAGCCTCTACCTTCGGCTCAGGTCATGATCCCAGATTCCTGGGATCAAGCCCCGCATAGGGCTCTCAGCTCAGCAGGGAGCCCGCTTCCTCCTCTCTCTCTCTGCCTGCCTCTCTGTCAAATAAATAAAATCCTAAAAAAAAAAAAAATTCCCAAATTGAACTAGTAGTAACTAGCTACCAGTTGCTTCTTTTTTTATTTTTTGCTTGTTTTTAAAAATATTTTTAAAAGACTCATTTACTAGAGAGAGAGAGAATATGAGTGGGAAGGAGGAGCAAAGAGAGAAGGAAAGAATCCTCAAGCAGACTCCCCACTGAGCACAGAGCCCAAGCGGGGTCTCGGTTTAGGACCTCCACCAGGTCCGCTGTGAGCCACACAGACGCCAGGGTTGCTTTATTTAAAACTTAAATGGATAGGGAGATACATTGGTACCTTTTTCTTTTAAAAAGGCTCTGTATAGCATAAATTGGAATTTGTATTTAAACGCATTTCAAAATTCGTGTAGGTGCATAATTAAATAAGAACCATAGCTGCAACTTAACATTACCCAACATTTGTCGGAGGCTTGTTTTAACCAACGTTTTATTCCGCACAACACAATTTGGGCTCTAGGTTTAGGGGTGACCCTCATGTGATTAAACTCTCACTCCATTCCAGTTTGCATACTGTTGCCGCGAACACAAAAGTCAAAATTAGTCCATATAGATGAGGCGTATTCTTTTTAAGTCGAAGACTATTAATGTCACTGTTCAGGCTCTTGAACCTTTATATAAGATACATGTAAGCTCTAGTGAAGACCTCGTCTCCCTGCTAGTGATAACGCCTCAAGGAAGGAGATGGTTGGTATGAAGTAGTAGTTTTGCTACTTATAATGCGAGATAAAAACTGACACTCGGTTTGCAGTTGGGTTTGAAAATGTTAACTGAACAGATGAACCAGTTAAATATACCACAAACTGAACTATGACCAGTGCATAAAGAATGCGCATTAAAACTCAGGTCCGCCAGAAGCGCATGCCTCTCTCCAACCTGCAGTTCCGCGACGTGCTGACTCTGGCAGTATGATCCACCTCGTCTCTCGCAGAAGCAATGAGGGTGCACATAAAGAGGTGGTGGGGCGACCGTCTAGGTCACGAAAACCACCTACCAAATTTAATCCACTACAAAGCAAACGACTAGTTTTAAGTGAAAAGGAATGCAAACGCACCAGCTGAAGGCCGATTTAAGAGGCAAGGGCTTCTAGCGACCGCCCAGTCGGGCCCGAGGCAGCAAGCCCCGCCCCTAGCTCTGCAACGCTGGTCCGGCCTCGGAGGAGCTCCGAGCCTCCAGCGGGAAAGTTTTGTGTCTGCACAGTAAGGCCCGCCCAGTGCCGCGTGGAAAAGGCGGGACCTGCCCGCCATTGCGTCATCTCGAGGGCGACGCAAGACGTCACTGCCTTGACCAGGAAGGTCAATCGTGCCTGAGGCAGGGCGCGCACCCATTTTTCGCCCGGTGTTACTGGCGCGTGCGCGTGGCTTCCCAGGCGGCCCGGACTCCGACGCTAGTCGCGGAGGCCGGTGTTTTGGCTCAGCCCGGGCGCAGTCATGCTGTTCCGGCTGGGCGGTAGGTGGCTGCGGCCGCTGTCCGTCCTGCAGCTGGGGACCCGGGACCCGCCGCTGGTGCCGGCCTCAGCGGGCGGCATTAAACACTCTGCTCCGCCGGTGTGGGCGGTGGCGTCCGTCTCTGCAGTTGACTCTGGCGGCCCTGGCAGCTGGTACGAGGCCCTAGCCACGTCGGCGCCGGTGCAGGGCACGGAGGAGGTGCTGCTCGGCATGCACTCCGCCACAGGTCTGCCCTGGTGGGCCTGCATCGGTCTCACCACGGTGGCCCTCCGTGGCGCTGTCACGCTACCCCTGGCCGCCTACCAACACTACATCCTGGCCAAGGTGAGGGGCACCTGCACCCTGCGCATCCGCTTGGGCGGTGAGGGGTGCTCTGTGTCTGCCGGGGGCTTAGAATCCCCGGGTGCTTCTGGAGTTGCTTAGTGTAAATGATCGCGACCACTTTTTTGGCTAAGACATTTCACTAGCATTGGGTATGTGAGTTAAGAGATGTTTGCTGACACATGTACCTGTCATTTCGTTTACCCTACTGGGTCCGTGCTCAAAGCCCTAGTGGTTACTAAGCTTGCTGTTGGAGAATGAGACGAATAAAGGAAGCGGTAGCAGAATTGTATGGAGAAACCTGTAAAATTCCCGTCTTAAAGATCGTAACAGCCTGTGTGTCTGCAGCATCGTTTGTCCCCGAGGATTCCGATTCATCTTTCTTATTAAAAAAACTGCTAAGCCAGCCATTTGCAAACTTGATATCCTTATTCGGGCTGTACCACCTGCGACTCGGGTTAGTCGCAGCCACTTGGGCTTCAGGGCTTCTCTCTCTCCTGTGGAATCGGGATAGTAATAGCTTCGTGGTCTACTTCACCATGTTATGAAATCAAGTCAGATAATGTGGCTTAAAGTGCTCTGAAAGCAAAGTATTATTCAAATGTAAGACTTCAAGAATAATGGTTTTCATGTTTTCAAATTATTATTGGGGATGGGGGTGGAACCCATAAGCAAAGGGAATCATCAGCACCATTAAGGCAGTGAGGTACTTTACAGAAAGAATAAACACAGAGCAGAAATTAATGCAAACTTTTTGTGACTGTGGCTGTCACAGAGCATATTAAAGACTTAATTGACGACTTTTTTTTTTTTCAGTATCATTACTCAGAAGTCCAGGGGTGAAACATTAAAGTATAGGGTTCAGTTCTTATCTAATCCTTATAATAACTCTGAGGTAGGTGCTGTTAAACATTTTATATATGAGGAAACAGTTTTAGAGCTTAAGCAACTTGCCCAGGATCACATAGCTAAGAGTATAAGCTGGAATTTGAATTGGTTGTAACTGAGGATATCTTAAACAAATTTGACACCTTATCCTTAGACTTAAATTTTCTTGAGATAATCAGTAAACCACATTTTTCAGGGAGAAGAATAGAGAGTAAAATTCTGAGTAGTTATGAATAAAGATCCTTTATGTGCTCATAACAAATTCTATTTTTCCTTTAGCTAGGTGGAAAATTTACAGCCAGAAATAAAAAGCATTGCAAGGCATCTTAACCAAGAAGTTGCGGTTCGTGCAAATCAGTTGAGGTGGTCCAAAAGAGTTGCCAGGTAAGCTAATTCTATGAATTTAGACCATATGTGTGTGTGTGTGTGTGTATACGTGTATATATATACACGCTGAGTAAGTGATTATATTAATTCTAGGTTTGGGTGTTCTGTAGCTTTAGCAGCAAAGTAGTCCTTTCACTCCTTAATATTTTAAGAAGTTTGTGTGGTATGAGTTTTGTATAGTGAAAGCAAGAAATGGAGAAACAGAGCAAGATCCTTCATGAGGAACTCCAGTCTCCTGAGGAAGACCTGTAATCAAATAATGATTAAATTAAGTGCTATAAAAAGGGTTATGAACAAGGAGTTCAGTCATAGTGGAAAGTCAGGGAAGGCTTCATGGATGGAGATACTGTGCTAGTCTGTTGGGATTTCAGTCGGCAAATGATACAGATAGATTATTTACACACTTGACCATTTTGGAAAGAATGATCTAGCAGCCCACAAAAAGGGGGAGGTAGAAAGTGTGAATGCTCTGGTAGAAGAAGTTAGATAGCCAAGGTGCTGTCTATCTGCTGTGGTTACCCTGTGTAGTTGTCTGCCTGGGCTCTTAGAAAGCCCTTAGAAGGTGCTTGACCGTGCTGCAATCCTGTGCCTGTCGTCATCCACTGGGGACTTGTAAATCCTGCTTTCGTCAGCCCAAGTTAGTATTTAGTCAAATTATAATCCTTACTAGGCTGTGACCAAGTGTTCACCAGTTCACAGCAATGAGAAAAATAAGGGCTTTACATTATATATATATATGTAAGGTATATATGGTTATCTGTATATTTTTACCTATACGTGTATAAATTTGCCAGCTCTCTTCAGTGTGAAATTGCTCCTCTAGTTAGTGTTAGAAAGATCTGATATTTAAAAAATCCATTATGGTAGTTTAATACCTTTATTTGATAAAATAGAAAGTTGACAAACTTAACAGTTTTGAAGTTTTACTGACCAGAGAAATCTAAGAGTGATAACTCCAGGCCAGAAGACCAGATTAGCAAGCTGCTCATCTGAATTATAAATGCAGCCTAGGAAGACTGGTACCTTGTTTATGTAGCATTGGCAGGATGATTGTCCAGACAATTCTTTGCACAGATAGATGACTGTCTAGGAAGACACATCCGAGAGTTTCTTGCATTTTCAATGGAACTGAGTCTGAAGGCTAAAACAGAGTTTGTCAGGTGGACAGCCAGGTGGACTGTCCACACAGATGACTTAATGACTTCCAAAACATGCTGATGTAGAAGTTTGATTTATTGGATAGCCTATGCATGTAGGCACCAGAATATGCAGGTGTCTGTAGAAGAGTAGCAAGAGATAAAGTTGGACGAGTAGGCAGAGTCTAGATTATAAAGCCTGGAATGTCCGTGTACTGTCTTAGTGCAGTAATACACTATAATTCTAGTGTATTGGCTTCAGGCCCCTTGGATGTCTGCATTGTATAAAACATGCTACAGGAGATTGAGAGATGAAGACCCAACACTTGATCTTTGAGGAGAAAGTGGGATTTAAAAACAGGAATAACGAATAAGGTTAACAGAGAAACAGATTTTAAAAATCTTCATAAAAGAGTTGGTTGAAGAATGGAAACCATTTTGATAGGTCAAGAGCATATATATTACAAAATCACATTGCTACAAAAGGTATATTCAGGGATCAAGTAATTGAGCTTGGCTGGAATGGAGGGATTTGAGTTAAATGTGCTTTCACCTTTAGAATTTGTGATACAGACTGGTCATTCCATGCCAGTAGTAACATTTCACTTGTTAAAACCTAATTGGCCAAAGACCACCAGAGCCAAAGCTTGTAATTTGATGATGTCAAATTTATCAAAGTGTTATGTAATATGTGTACATTGCTAGAGAATTTTCATTAAAAGGCTTTTTTGCCTCTTGTTAGGCAATCCCTTAGTATAGTGTATGACCACTAAAAATCCCACACAAATTTTAGCTATTAACTATGACATGGGTGTGTTTGTGTTGTGGGTATGAATGATATTTTCTCCTTTCCCTTTTCCCCTCTTCTCTCAAACCAGGCTCACTTACCTAAAGAATATGCGAAGGCTTGTTTCCGAGCTGTATGTTCGGGATAACTGCCACCCGTTCAAAGCCACTGTATTGGTCTGGATTCAGTTTCCAATGTGGATCTTCATGTCTGTTGCTCTCCGGAATTTTAGCACAGGGGCCACACATTCAGAAGGTAGTTATTATAGCAGTCTGTTTCCCCCAAATACATGCTCTCACATTGTCTTTGTACTCTCAAGGGGAAAAAAAGGGAAAAAAAAAATCCCTGTGCTTTTCATAATTAGAATATTTTTACCATCTTTCTTATAAGGGTGTAGATTTTAAAATATTAACTTTAAGCAAACTAGCCATGTTGAGAAAACGTGAATCTAGGAAGGACAACAGTAATATAGTTGACCCTTGAACAACACAGGTTTGAATCGGGCAGGTCCACTTATAGATATATTTTTTACAGTCCTGCACTGTAAATATATTTTCTTTTCATCATGAATTTTTTTTTTAATTAGAGAATAGGGAATGGGGGCAAAGGGAGAGGGAGAGAGAATCTTAAGCAGACTCCCCGCTGAGCACAGAGCCCCACACAGGGCCGGATCTCACAACCCTGAGATCATGACCTGAGCTGAAATCGAGAGTCGAATACTTAACCGACTGAGCCTCTCAGGTGCTTCTCATTATGATTTTCTTAATAACATTTTCTTTTCTTTAGTTTTATTGTAAGAATACAGTATATGATATTTAAAGCATATAAATGCTATTGGTAAGGCTTCCAGACAACAGTAGGCTTTCTGTAGTTCTTGGAGAGTCAAAAGTTATACACAGAGGTTTTTTGGTTTTTTTTTTACAATTTTATTTTTAAGTAATCTTGCACCCAGTGTGGGGCTCAGACTTACAATCCTGAGATCGAGAGTCACCTGCTCTGCCACTGAGCCAGCCATGTGCCCCATACAGAGAGTTCCAGCTGCTCGGAGGGCCGGCACCAGGGTTGGCACCCTTAAGCCCTGAATTGTTTAATGGTCAACTATAGTTCTTCATGGAAGTCCTAATAAAATTAGTGTTACAATTCCATGATTCAGTTTCCTGGCCAAGAATTTTTTCCATTTATAAAATTAAGGGACCAGAAAAGCATTAACAGTTATAAATGTAAACACTTATTAAGAAACTATAAACTGGGGGCACCTGGGTGGCTCAGTCGTTAAGTATCTGCCTTCGGCTCAGGTCATGATTCCCAGGGTCCTGGATCGAGCCCCACATAGGGCTCCCTGCTCGGCGGGAAGCCTGCTTCTCCCTCTCCCACTCTCCCTGCTTGTGTTCCTTCTCTCACTGTCTCTCTCTCCGTCAAATAAATAAATAAAATCTTTAAAAAAAAAAAAAAAAGAAAGAAAGAAAGAAACTATAAATTAAAGCATTGCTTAAAGGCATTTCTAACCAGAAAATACCTGAACAGACTTGAAAGAAAGTAGCCTGTGGACAACTATATAAATATAAGTTAGAAAAGAGTACTGCTATGTATCTTTGTGCTCCTACAGCTGTATGCTACAGAGAGCTGCTGCTTTCTCAGTGCAGGAAGGACTAATTTATGTTGTGGAATAAAAGTGAATGAAACCAATGCAAGTCTTTAGTGTGAAGGATATCTTATTTGAGTTAGAGAACTTATGTGTTGTATATTTCCTTCTGCTATGTTTTATTTATAAAACTGTCTTAGCAGGTTTTTCCGTTCAGGAACAGTTAGCTACGGATGGAATCCTGTGGTTTCCTGATCTCACTGCACTGGATTCTACTTGGATTCTGCCTATTTCCGTTGGTATCATCAATTTATTAATAGTGGAGGTCAGTGGTTTTAAGTGAGATTTGTGTGCCATTTAAATTATGGGGATTTTTGTTGCTGTCCCAAGATCAAATATAAATGTTTGAGTTGGTAGTGATATTCTGGCTCTGAGCTAGAATTGAGAGGCCTTGGTTTCTGGTCATATATCAGCCATTGGCAAGTCTTAGGCCAGTTCCTTAACCTCTCTGGGGGCAGAATGCTCATAATTGAAATGGAAGAGCTGAGTTAGAAACTTCTAAAGTCTCTTTACAATTATATGAATCTAATACACACAATTTTTTGATTTGTTTTTGGTAAAGACAGTAATTAAAATGGTTAATCAGTATGGTTTTATTCTCACAGTAGATTGGTATTTTGTATATATGTTTAAAATGTAAATTTGCAAGTAGGAAACATAGTGTCTGATTGTCTTTTTTTTTTTTTTAGCTGTATGACCCTAGAGAAGTCAATACTTCTTTAACTGATGGGATGGAAAAACACATATATATAAAATACGATCTGTCAACTATGTCTTACCATTATCCCGTGCTGTGTTACTCAGCAGTTTAGTGGAAGCAAGCCTTTAATTGTATAAGGACCTGTTCTTAATGGAGTAGAACATAGACTCTTTGAACTGGAAGAAACCTTAGAAATGATCCCTAGAACTTCGTCTCAAGGATCCATCACTGGTCTCTGTTTGGGAAATCGAATACACGCTTATTTATTTATTTATTTATTTAATTAGAGAGAGAGCACCAGCAGGGGGAGTGGCAGCGGGAGAAGGAGAAGCAGACTCCCCACTGAGCAGGGAGCCGGATATGGGGCTCAGTCCCAGAACCATGAGACCATGATCTGAGCCGAAGACAGACTCTAACTGAGACATCTAGGTGCCCCAAACCTCTTATTTTTTTTTCAAATGAGAAGAATGAAGATGAAGATGATACTGTTTTGGGCTAGGATTTCTTGAGGAAAGACTCCATGTGTAGTCCCAGTATGTTTCCCTAGGGTCACCTAGCACAATTGAATGTGGTTGGTACTTAGTGAAATATTTATTAGAATGAAGAAAATGATAAACACAAGGTCACAGTGAATTAATGTCAGTCCTCAAGTCTTTCCTTTGACCAGCTAACAACCCAGTGTAAAAAAGTTTAAAAAAACTTATTCTTGGGACTCCTGAGTGGCTTGGTTGGTTAAGCATCTGCCTTTGCTGGGAAGGGGTGGGGGGAAAAAAGAAAGCATCTGCCTTTGGCTCAGGTCATGATCCTGGGGTCCTGGGATCCAGTCCCACACCAGGCTCCTTGCTTGTCGCGTAGTCTGCTTCTCCCTCTGCCTGCCACTCCCCTACTTATGTGAGTGCTCACTCTCTGTCTTTGATAAACAAGTAAATAAAATCTTAAAAAAAAAACAAACAACTTATTCTTACATAATATACATCATGTGCCAGGCACTATTGTAAGCAGTTTACGTGAATTAACTCATTTAATTAGAATAATTCCGTGATACAGGTACTAATATTATCCCCATTTTAAGGTGGAGAAAGTGAGGCACAGAAGGCTTAAGTAACTTCCACAAAGTCACGTAACCGTTAAATGTGGGGCTGCCATGCAAATCTAGGACGTTTGGATCTGGAGTCTGTGCTCATAATCATTTCATTGTTCTGTCTCTTAAATAAGTTATTTATGAGTCATAACTGCTTTTCCTAGCCTGGTTCTAACTTTTATTCCGTACAGCCAGATCACAAACCTTTGAGATACCTATTGTGATCCTTCTTTATGCCAGGCACCGTGTTTAAATACTAAAACAAGGGTAGCGGTTCATACGTAGCACCTATCTTGAAAGGACCTTCAGTCTTACAATTTTTCATAAACATTGTTTTGTAAAAATTGTGCTATGATACTGTTTAATATAGCTGAATCTTTGTATTGTTACTGATTAAAGCTCCCTTTAATCTGCCTAATTATTAAGTTTTCCAGAAACAGACGGTCAGCTGTATACATTTATCAGTGTTTTAGTTTTTTTTGCTTCTATTAAGATAGACGTGGAGGCCAGCAAAAATCTAATTGTGTTTTAAAGCTTGTCTAATTTAATATGCTTAACAATCATTGTGTGTATTTATTATTCTACCCTCTCAGATTTTTGCTCTGCAAAAAATAGGAACGTCTCGTTTTCAGACATACGTCATGTACTTCGTTCGTGCGGTATCGTTGTTGATGATTCCAGTCGCCGCGACGGTGCCTTCGGTGAGTAAGCAGCCACACTGTGTGTAGCACATGCTCAGTCTGCTCTATGCTTAACGTAGACTGGCTAGGACTCCGTGTCTTCTGTTGTGCTGCCTTTGACTGCTAAATCCCTTCCTGGTTTCCGAGTTTCTGTAGTAATTACTATTACCAAGTGGCACTTGGTATTTCTTGGGATTAGATAATCTTCCTTTGTGTGAGTGTGAGTTAACTCTCATCTCCTTTTTCTTTCTTCCTTTCTTTTTTTCATCTTGCACAGCACTGTAAACATAGTATTTGTTCTGTTTGGTTAGTTGAAATATTGAATTCCTTCTGTCTGCATAGACTGGGCCAAGGAATTTAGCTCTTAAAAAAGAAACAAAACTTTGTGCCAAGTCCATACGGGTTCGTATGTAATCTTGTTTAACCTCATAACAATGCAGTGAGGTAGGTACACCTGCCCCCATTTGTATGTCATTACACTTTGATAGAATTAGAAAAAAAAATGCTGAGGTTTGCAGTTATTTCATATTTTTAGCCTTTTGCTTATTTCCCAGTGATACTTAGTGCAAAGAGGGCAAAAGCTGTCTTAGATATTATATCTGTCTTTTCTCAGGGCCAGCACATAGACCATGAAGTAGAATTCATTCGTCGGGGATAGTTAGTGTTCTGTCAGCATGTAACAAAGTACTTCATTGTCTTGGGAATCTGAAACAGTGCATTTTCAGCATCAAAAATATATTTTTAAAGCTGTCCCTTGAACATAATACTGCCACTAATCCTGTGTAAAATAAGTAAGTTTCCACATTTCTGAAATAGACCTCATAATGTCTGTGAAAACTAATAAAATAGCATCAAGTGCTTATTATGGTACTTTCCATGTAACAGTAATATTGCTGTAAAATACCCTGTGAATAAAGAACAGTACAGGTTCCCTGCATTTCTGGGGAGAAATCATACCAGTGGTAACTGAGGAAACTGCCTGAGCAAATAAAATAGGAGCAGTGAATTTTCAGTGAGGGATTGGGTTTAAAGTGAGTAACAGAGATCTCAAAAGCAATGTCTGAAATACCTCAAAGTTTATTCTCCCAAATATAGGAAATCCAGAGTTTGGCAGTTTAGCGTAGAACTGATGTAGCAGCAGCATGAAGACACGTGAGGAACCGGACTGGCTCTTTCATTCTGCTCCACCATCCACAGCCGGTCATTCCTGTCCTTAAGGCCACAGCATGTCATGATGGCTGCTTTAGCTCATCTTGCAGGAAGGGTGAAAGGGTGCTTCAAGTGCCTTTAGCCCCTTTAAGGAGCCTTGCCAGATGGCACACCAAACACTCGTGCTCACATCCTAGTTATTTGGGCCACACCCGGTTGCAGAAGATACTGGGAATTAGTCTTTTTTTTTTTTCTTGATGGCAGTATACCCAGCTTAAAATGAGAATTTTATTACTAAGGAAGAAGAAGGATTCTTAGTAGGCAGTTTGTAGTTTACCATAGTTGGCTTCAGAGTACTTTTTGCGTACGGGATAAGTCAGGTGATGATGATGATGATGGCTAATACTCACTCGATATTGACTTTGCGTCAGGCACTATTTTAAAAGGTTTACATGTGATAGCTCATTTAATTCATCCAGTGGGCACTGAAGTAGGTGCTATTACAATCTCCACTTTAGTGTTGAGGAAACTGAGACACAAAGAGGGTAAGAAGCTCATTCAAGGTCAACTCATCCGTTACATGATGCTTAATATCACGCAGGTATCTCAGGCACATCCAGGGGGTTTGGCTCCTGCCTGTAACTGATATGCTCATTGGCTTTGAGGCTGTGGTACCTTCTGCCCTGAAAAATTTGCTTTGGAACAAATGCAAGTGTTTAATACGGGCCACCTTCTGTTCTGACCTGTCTGTGTGAGTTACCTCCCTTTTTCCTCACAGCAGCCTTCTGAGGCGTGGATAGTTCAGTCCCCATTTTATAGATGAGGAGACTGAAGCAGAAGGAAAATAACTTCCCTCCAGTCAAATAAATGGAATTCCCATTCAGGCAGTTCAGCTCCAGGACCTGGACTCAACCATCACAGGCTCCTGCCTCTGGGGCCTGATCACATTCTGATGCCAGAGAAAAGTTGGCAACAGATGTAGGTATGGGAGGGTCTTGAGAGGCTCCAGAATGTAGTCAATAACCTAATAATCACTCTGAATGGAAGTACAAAAGAAGTTGAAGATAATGTTGAGACTGTTTGTCTCTGAAAAAGGCAAAGGTAATGCCTTCCCGACTAAGAAACCAATTACTGGGAAATTCTGGGGTGATAAATCACTGTGTGGAGAAAAATGGGGTCTAGGGAGCCTAAATGGCTGTGCCCCCGGTGGCCTACCTCCAGTATAGCAGCTTGTCAGGACTCTTGGTGTGGGAAAAGGGTGCTTTCTTGCCAAAGAGGAGAGGGGAGATCTCTCTCTCGAGCCTCTGCCCAAGCGCTGCTGTCTGTCATCCACTTTCCTATTGTGAAGAGCTCTCCTGTTGCTTTCTTTCCACTTTTCGCCCTTTCAGCCTTCTTTCTTACCTATCAGAATCATCACAGGTATCAGGTAGCTGCCACAGGTCTCGTGCCGTCCTGGCCCACTGCTGCTTCCCCACATTGTCATTTTCTCCTGTACTGCTTGCCAGTGTCTGGACGTCGGTACCCGTGGAGAGTGGAGAGGTACTGACATTCACCCGCTTTCTTTTTCTAGTCAATCGTGCTCTACTGGCTCTGCTCCAGCCTCATGGGCCTCTCACAGAATTTGTTGCTGCGCTCTCCCAGGTTTCGTCGCCTTTGCCGGATACCACTGACCAAGTCGGATTCAGACAGCCCTTATAAGGACCTCTTTGCTGCCTTTTACGCCAAGTTCATTTCAAGAAAATGACGTGCTTTCCATTAATTTTGAAACAATTGCAAGTGTCACTATCACAATATATTTACGTTTACAAATTCAGATGTGATTTAAAAAAAAAATTTTTAATTTGTCTTTATTTAAAACCGTGAATTGTGTGAAGTACTGTGGGTTAAGATATAATCCAAATATATTTGACAATACCGAAAATCCTTTAAATGCTAGAAATGTATGTTTGGTTGTATCCTAAAAATATAAAAGTAAAATCAAAGTACCTTATAAAATTATAACTTGCTAGAGGGGCCAAAACTTTGGAAGACCGGATTAGATACTGAATGATGTCCGATTACACTAACTAATCTCATACATTAAAGCTTTTATAATGAAAATACAGTGAGGTGATTCTTAAAATTTTGGAGGTGTGGAGGATCACAGACCCATTTGCTCATCTGCTAAGGCTATGGTTTTCTTTACAGAAAAATCCTGGGACTCAGCACACGAGGCCTTCATTGATGAGCCTCTCTTCCCCCGCCCTGAGGCTTTCTGGTAATTCCTGGTTGAGAAATCTTACTTTTACTCTAATGGAACACACAATGATGAAGAGTTAATGTGTGACTTCTAAAAAAAATAGACTTGAGATTCATGCAATAGAGTAGTCCTTATAAGAAAGTACCTAATATGGTAGGTAATGTTGCCTTTCAACCCTGCTCTGAAAGAATGTAAGAAGGGTACATTCCTTTTTCTATATCTAAGAAGAGTGTACTAGAGTATAGCACTAAGTACTGCCAGAGCCCAAAGTAGAAAATCTTAAATGTTAAGTTTGTTTAGTCAAAGGAAGAAAACCTGAAGTTCAGCCATCTGTCATGGAGGTGATTTTATAAACTTTATTTGGAGGGTTTGAGAATTCTAATGGGCTTAGACTATGGTAGATGGAAAAATTAATAGGTAATATAAATTGTGGATCCAGTTTTTTGCTTGTTTGATCTGAAAGGATGGTAAAACTAACTGTGGTTGGGATATTTATGAATAAATTTAACAGGCATCTGAAAAGATTATAAATTACAAGTTGTCATTGAGTTGGAATATGAACCTCATTTTGAGAGGCCCTGTATCCCATCTCATGTTTAACAATAAAACAAAAACTAAAGCGGAATTAATCATTTTTAATGTCTTTTAGTGTTTTAAAGTCATTTAATAATGTCTGTTAAATCTTAGCTGTTTTGGTTGTCACCTCACCGAAAATTTAGAGGTAGCACTTGGGACCTGGTTCTCGTTTCCTGACTTCCCAGTCCTAGTCGTGACTGCCCTATTGAGGTAACTGTCTTTCTAATCACAGTGCAGGCATTGAAACCTGCGCACTGTCAATCCTCATGATTTGCAGACTTTGTATTTGCCGGTTTGCCTGCACACTAAAATTTATGCGTACGCCCCAAATCAATATAGTGCTTTTGATGTTATTCTTGGACAAACATAGAGCGGCAAAAAACTTGAGTCATTCAAAGTACATGTTCCCAGATAGGTCAACCAGGGCAACACTGTGTCTTCTTGTTTCAGCTCTCAGACTGTATAATAACCAAGTGTCCTTTTCATGGTCTAGTGCCATGTTTTTTCTCATTCTTTTGCTTTTTGTTGGTGATTTCACTATTTAAAATGGCCTCCAACCGTTGTCATCTGAAGTGCTGTCTAGTTTTCCTAGGCACAGGAATCCTGTGATGTTCCTTAAGGAGAAAGTAATACCTACATTAAATAAACTTCATTCAGGCACGAATTATGATGCTGTTGGCCATGAGTTTACCATTAATGAATCAACAATATTTTATATTGTTGGGTTGTTGAAGATTTGACAAGAGGCTCATAGGAATGTAACCCTGTAAATTCTCTGGGAGCAGTGGTTTAGTGTTGATGAATTCAGTGTTTGTGGTAATTTTATAGAATATAACTACCTCAGATAACAAGAATTGACCTTTTGGAACATGTACAATCAAGGAAGCAGAGGCAGAAATATCTGTGCTCATTGTATTATAGCAAAAAGAGAAAAGATAATTTGAGAAAAATTTTGGCTATCTCTGGAACAAGTTGAGTCTCGCCATGTGTATCATCGGGTACTGATTCATATTTTTCTCTCATAGTGAGATGGAGGAAATCAGCTCTCTTCCCCCATCTTACTCAGACTTTCTGAAAATAAGTTTGTCGCTTTCTGAAAGTAAGAAATAAAGGACTGCTGTGACTGCCTTTTCCAGTACATCTCCTTTCTTGAGTGTGCTTTTACCTTGTTTACTTGGATTCCCCTCGATTTCTGAATGTACTTTTAACATCTTTTTTCAAGGGATGATTTACTTTGTTTCCTATTGCTCTCCTGTTTTCAGGCATTTTGAATTGCTTTGAAAATATACGCAAATTTATTTGAAAATACAAGATCCTTCCTCCCAGATCTCAAAATAATTTCTGGTGGGGTTGAAGGTGGCTGGAATCTTTGAAAATACTCATGAATAAAGAGAACTGATACATTATGAACTGAGGTGAATCAGTCACCTGACTTCAAGCTGGTAAATAACTCCTCTCACTTCTTTCTCCAGGCAGATTTTTTAGTAAATAGCAAGTCAAGTTCCTGAAAACTCCCAGGTCCGTGGTCTCTGACCTTACTTCCCCAGCAGTTTGTCATAGGAGCACTTCCAGAGCCTAAGATCCGGGGAGGTGGTATTGGATGGGACCAAGAAGACACACACACTGTAAAGATCCCTTGGATGTGTCTCTCCTCGGCTGTTGAGGGACTGGCAGAGCTCAGTCCTGGACCCTGCAGAGTTCAGGAAGTCTTTTTTTTTATTTCAAATGGAGACCATAGTCTATTTGTCTGTCTTCCTCCTCTCTGAAAGGGAGTCTTTTTTATTTTATTTATTTATTTTTTTTAACTCCATGTGGGCCTTATTTTTGTCTCTAGGCCAGATTCACTTTTTTATAGGTGTGTCTCAGCCCAAGAGTTAGGAAAAGGGACTCATTCCTGGATCAATTTATACTCTATAATGATACTAGAGCTCAAATGTATGTTTGGAGATGGAACTGGCATAGCCAAACAACCCAAGTTTTCCCTAGAACCCTTGTGAGAGAAAACCTGAGCAGCCCTATCTGGGCCAGATGTCATAGGTGGGAAGATGAAGCTTACTTAAAAGCAAAATCCTTGATTTGCCACTTTCACAGATAACCCCGGAGAGGTTTCCAAAACCTCTCAGAGAAGAGAGCAAGCCTTTCTAAGATACCTTCAGAAGCACTCAGGAGCAAAAAAAACCAAACCCTCACATCTCAGAAGAGATACAGCCAGTTCTAGACCATAGTGGGGAAATTGTTTCTGGGGAAAGGTGGAAAAAAATGAGGGCCCAAATAAACCTCAGTAATTTCTCAGTTTTGTACCTATGCTTAATTTATCCACGTGTCTTCATAGGTTCCTCCTCTGAGGATTCCAGGAATCAATCAATCTATCTATCTATCTTTTTGTGAGAATCACCTTTTAAATTGCTTTAATACCAGATTAAGCCCCCAAAGCAGTAGTAACTCAGATCCTAAACACAAAGAATGTCCATTGTTTTTTCCCTGGATGATAAATGAAGTTACCACAGAACGCAAAATTTAAGATTTCAGGTATGACCTATGAGTCCATGCAAGAATTTAGGTTTCTGTGTTAAAGCTAAATGTGCCAACATGACATAAAACACGACACTAGTTACAATAGGCCATCATTGATTCTCGCCTCTTCTGTGAGCGGATTCTACCAGGACACGAATTATCTGGAAATAATAGGAATCCACAGAAAATTTTCTATTTGAACCTTACGAATATATTTTAAAGTTGTAATAATTGGTATTTTCTAATTATTGTTTTTAAATACTGAATTTTGTGAAATCAAGATTTAGCTTTGGGACATTTGAATTTGTGCAGTAATAAAACCTAGATACTTCTGAAATTTTGGACTTCTGTGTTTCAACAAGTAAAATAAGAATTTATGCATTCGTATATATTTTTGATGTATTCATATATATGAATTTTCATCCATGAACATTCCAAGCAAACCTTAAAGACAATTTGCACATATTCTTTGCTAATTGTATGAAATACAGAGATACCATGTATCTCTCATAATCTTTTAAGAACGTGAAGAACTAGTACTGGGATCAAGCTAATGCTAGTTGGGGGAATCCTTTATTTTATTTTATTGTCATGTTTTATATTTTCATGATGGTAAAATTATGTTTGTATAATTCTTTTATTGTTTAAGATGTTTGTGTATCCACATATTTTTTAAAATTTTAATTCCAGTATAATTAACGTACAGTATTTTCTTTGTTTCAGGCATACAATATAGTAATTCAACAATTCTGTTCGTTTCTCAGCTCTCATCACAAGTGTACTCTTTTTTTTTTTTAAAGATTTTTTTTTTTTTTTTATTTGACGGAGAAAGAGATCACAAGTAGGCAGAGAGGCAGGCAGAGAGAGAGGAAGGGAAGCAGGCTCCCCGCTGAGCAGATAGCCCTATGTGGGGCTCGATCCCAGGACTCCGGGATCATGACCTGAGCTGAAGGCAGAGGCTTTAACCCACTGAGCCACCCAGGCGCCCCACAACAAGTGTACTCTTAATCTAATTGGGGGAATTCTTTAGACCTGTAAGCCATGGTATGATAATATGTAACATTAAGTTAGTGTAGGGATCTTAATATTATAAGATTTATAATGTCGTGTCTAGGAAAAAGCAAATTAAATTTAAAAAGCTTGAAAGATCAGGATAATACTTAGCAAATTTTTAAAAATAATGACTGAATATATAGAAGTACATTGATTTTACTACTACTAGAAATTAAATAATAGGTGAAGAATTAGCTTATTCAGCCAGAAAGTATGCATGTGAATTATGTATTTATAATTACATAGTCATTAAAAAATGTAGGCAGATCACGTAACTGTGAAATAAGATTGTTTTGCAGATTCCAGAGATAGAGCTGTCCTGAGCATTATTTTACATCATCTCAAAGTACAGGAGACTCTTCCCTTTCCCAGCCGGCAGCAGACAGCCGCAAAAGAAAGCCGCCTGGTTAGAGCCTTGAGCTTTCACACCGCCGGAACGCCAACAAACAAAGCAAACTGAAACCTCATCAGATGAGGACGACGCTGCCACAGAGAGGGAGCGATTTTGTGAACAAATTTACTAGAGGATCATTGGTGGAATATAGTCTAAAAGCCAAAGGAATTAGAAAATTTACTGAACTTTATTCAGTAATTGTGTTGCTCTTATTAATACTGCAGTGTTATTTTAGAATTTATGGTTAGGTAACATATGTGCTGTCTGTGAGGTCTCTTAGTTTTCTTTGAATGCTGTAACAGCATCCTTCGTGCTGCTTGTGCTACCGAGGGGTGGGTATTGTTGCTTGTATTTGTTGGAGTTTGTTTTTAAGTGAAGCATCGTTTCATGATATTGCCACATAGTGGAGATACAGAAGATACATTTTCTTTCAAGTTTTTCTTCTAAGATGGCTTCAGGGATTGTCCCTGAGAAGGAAATGGGCCCCACAGAGGGTCCTCTTTCCCCACAGGTCTCCACCCCCACACTCAGAAAGCCGAGCCTTCATATCTGTTTCACCGAAGGCCTTCCACAGTCTCAGGAGCAATGCGTAAGAGCATTTTGATCCTGGTTGATTCCCAAACGCAGGAACCACAAGGCTTGGCCTCAAGAGAAAGAAAGAGAAAGAAAAAGTTACCAGCTGAGGAATGGCAGCAAAATCCCCAAGAATCAGCTGAATCAAGAAAGTGCGTTCATACAGAGGCCTTGCCTAGCTTTTAGAAGAGTAACTTTTGGGGGATGCCTGGGTGGCTCAGAGGGTTGAAGCCTCTGCCTTCAGCTCAGGTCATTATCCCGGGGCCATGGGGGCCCTGGGAGCCATGGGGGTCCTGGGATCAAGCCCCGCATTGTGCTCTCTGCTCAGCAGGGAACCTGCTTCCCTTCCTCCCTCTGGGCCTGATTGTGATCTTTGTCAAATAAATAAAATCTTAAAAAAAAAAAAACAAAAAAAAACAGTAACTTTTTGCTTTGCTCCTTTTAACTTGAACATGAGGGCGATATTGACACAACTATCCCAAAGGAATAGGTGCAGAGAGAACCCTGGCCCCTTGTGTTCTACCACTGACTGCCTTCTTGACTGCCCTGTACTCTGGTAAGTTTTACAAAGTAGCCTTACCTTTAATTGCTTAGTCCTGTACTGCTGGTTTCATTTAATAAAATGAGTTCTGGGTGTTTGGGAACAAAAGCGTTAATGGAAACACCTGAAATAAAACTAAAAGTGCTCCAAGAAAGCTACTGAGTTATTCTATCTAAGGCAACAAAAAGAAATTTCTATCTTGGAGAGTCTCTGCTAATTCCAGAGGGCCAAGATTTTCATGATAAAGAAGACTCTTGGAAAGCGCCCCATTTCTATCTTTTCCATTTTGAGAAAATAGCACAGGTGTGCTTCCTTCTCTTTGTGTCCCTGATAAGGCAATTTACATTTGTTTTGCCTTGGTTGGGAAGGCAGCACTGTATTTAATTTAGGTCTGGTTTTTGTCTTCTGGCTAAATTGTAGCTTTCCAAGGAAACTTAAAACTATGAATTATGAAATATACCTAACCATAGTCTTCTCATTGCAGCTGCATTTCTGCCGTGTCCCAATCATAGCACAAATCGTTTGAGGAATTTCTTCTAGTTATAACCTCAGGCTTCCTGGCTCTTCTTTGAGTGAAGGTTGCTGCTGAGGGTAAGGAATATTAAAAATATAAATCCTGTATCTATGAAAGAATTAACAGCTTCATATTCCATGCTGTTTAAAATTTATTATACGTGTTGCTACAGGTAAGAAATTCCCATAAAGTTTTATTATAAAAGCTTCAGTTGTGCTTGAGTTTTCAAATGTAAATGGGCTATTTGGGGTCCAAATAAAAACCACGGTTCCCATTGTAAATTACAGTTGCAACCAAGTATATATTTTGAAATGAATTATCTTGTTCCTCACCCTTAACTCTCACCTACCTGATAATGTGTTATTTTACTTTAAAATACAGTTGGTCTACGTTATTCACAGATTCATATTTGTGAGTTTATCTGCTCACTAAAATATATTTGTGATATCCTCATGATGATTTTTCTGGTATTAGCAGACATACATGCTCAGAGCAGCAAAAATCCAAAGGGTGGGGTACCTGGCTGGCATGTGACTCTCGATCTCGGGG